CGGAGCCGTTGCAGGGCGCGAGGTTCCCGCGAGAGCCGTTGAAGCCGTTGCAGGGCGCGAGGGCCCCGCCGGAACCGTTGAAGCCGTCGCAGGGCGCGAGGGCCCCGCCGGAACCGGGGCAGGGCGGGAGGGAGCTGCCAGCAGGGCTGCGGTTCTGTACAGGTGGGAGGGAAGAGCTGTAGGTACGCGGGTGCTGTCCCCTCTCGAGAAGATGGACTACGTTAGTGAGATTTTATTAAACGAGAAAATGGGCAGAGGAAAGGATTTTAGCCTGCGGCAGAGGGGAAGGAAATACGTGCAGTAATACTGTGGGGAAGGGCGATGTAAAAGCCCTGCTAGTCACTTCGCCGTCACGCTTCTGCTATAGCAGGCCAGCTCCAGAACCTGGCTGCTACTGCTGAATTTCCAGTTTCTCACTGTTTTTTGGTTGTAGGTCTAGAAGAAACAAGGGGATGCTACCTTCTTTGTTAGGAAGGTGGCAATAATGCCCGATTTTGCTTTTATGCACATCTGATCTAAAAAACAAGACTTAAACTACATAAATATAGCAAACTGAAAGAAGAGGTTACCATTTTTGTAAGAACAGAGCAAAGGAAGTTATCTGCATGTTAAGTGCCTAAAAGCACGGATTCTGTTATACACAATCAGTGCCTTTAAGCACTGTTGCTATAACAGAATGACAGGGAATTCTACTTCAAGCTAATGTAGGCATATGATTTTAGTACTCCAAATCATAGGCAGCAATGTACCTTTTACCTTTGGGAAACTTGCAGTGAATTTGGAATAAAGGCCTGCTTCTCCCCCATAAGCATGTTTCAGGTCCCAAGAACCTGACTAGGAGCTCAAACAGACAAGAGTGTCAGCTTTTCTACTATTACTTAAAATAAAAGGGGGGGGGCAACCAACCAGCTGTAACTCTTTCCATTTCCTAGGGATTACAGAGTGTAGTAAGAAATAGCCCCCAAAAAGAGAGATAAGTCCTATAAAGCTGCAACTTTAAAATGGATTATCTAATGCTGAAAAGCACTAGGAAAGCTGAATTCTGAACTCTGGCTAATGATGAGCACCAAAGACCACCTGGTTATTTTTATTCCTTGTATGTGTTAGTGAGTTGTTTCCTAGAGCCATTCAGGTGTAAAAGATCAGTTCTCAAAAGCATAAATATTTGGAATTTCTTATTTCAGCTTCCCTCTTGACACTTTTTTTTTTTTTTTTCCAAAACCCGTAATCGGAAAAAGGAAGACAATAAAATAGTATAAACTGAATCCTAATAAAGAAACTGATATTCTGTTTACTCAAAATTGAAGTCAAGTTAGTTTTGGCTGTAAAAACAAGTATTTACAATATTATGTAAAGACAGCTATGAAATATAGCTAGGTATAGATACACCAGACTAACAGATGACTTTGGAGTCTGCTTAGTTTTATCATTTGTGACATTTATGCTTCAATCCTGAAAAGCTTTTTTTGCCTCTTCCTTTGAATTTTGCGTGGCTTCCTTTTATCTTTTACAATTGCCTTTGGTTCTGGTTTCACAAGCTGTACTTCCATCGGCTTTTCTTCAGCTGGAGTCTCAAAGACAGTTTCAGTGGGATCTTCTTCAATAAGCATCTTAGTTTCTTTTTTCTTTATCTTTTGTACTTCCTTCACTTGCTGTTTCTCTCTAAATTTAGCAGCCATTGATAATCTTATCAACCGTCGATGCTATAAAAATAAGAATTTAAATCAAGTCAGGTGTTAAATAAGGAAGATGAAAGAAACTCAGGTATTAAGGAAACAAATGGAGATTTCTCTGTCTAACTGTCAAACTCCTCAATATAGCATTATCTTTTCATTGACAGGAGTTTTGAGTCCTTTCTATTTAGGCATGGTTATTCTGTTCATAACTGTGACTACAAGGTTCCTACAAAGGGTTCCATGGGAAGACCCGCATGGTTCTCTTGCGCAAAGAGCTTGTAAGACCAGACTTCACATGAATTGCTAAATGAAAGAAAAGACAAAGACAAAGGTGCTTACCATATTTGGGGACTGGTAATGGGGATTTTCATAGAGAGTTGGCCCTCCAAAGCTACCTTGGAAGATTTTTATGAGATTCAGAACAAAACGAGGCCCAATTTCTACTAGAGACGCATCCTCTTCTATGATCTGCAATAAAAAGAATATGTTACTCTTCTCATGGATTGAATCTACATATATAACCTTGTAGACGACACATTACATACGGTGATCCACAACAGAATTCAAACCCAGTCTCTGGTACCACTGAAGCTGATAAGCTAGATTTGTACAAATACAAGGCTGTACACAAAGCAGTTCTTTCAGATACAAGTGAACAACAAGTATTAGATACTTGTAAATTTCTCCTTTGGAAAATAAGAAGCCACACTTTTAACTTTACTTGGTGCTTTAGCTTAAAGACAAGTGAAGCTTGGGCTTTGGCTACTACTTTGTATCACAAAGACAAGCTTTACAGAATCACAAAATTACTGACGTTACTTTGTGCAAGCACTGAACGTCAGCATACCTGGATAATGATTCTTCTCAATTTATTTTAACTAATGAATTTGATATGAAGTCATTTCAAAACACCATTTGAAGAACCAAAAAGGACCACTAACCTGATAATTCCGAAACCAGATCCTTTTGTCTGTAATGGTGAATGTGAATACATGATCTACAAAGGGTTGGCTCTTGGGGTGATACTGAGGTGTACTAAATATCTGTAATGAAAGGCAATCTTTTCTAAATATCTGTAATCGTAAGAGGTCAATCAGACATACAGCTTATCTTTAATTTGTCTTAATTTACTAAGATCCAGCTACCAGGCTAAACAAATAACCTAAAAACAAGTAGCCCCAGTGACTTCATGCACAACATCCCCACAGGATTAGGTTCAAGTTCAGAAGTGTAAAATTACTATTTAAATAAATATGTTGCCAAAGGCCATTTCCAAGAAGGAAGAAACACTGGACAAAAGAACTACAAACTAACCTGAATAAACAACTCTTTTAACAGGGCGTAGTGTGGCTCCTTGTCAAATGTCTGTAAGAGAAAAATGTAATTTTACATACAAAACAAAATGCAATAGCAAAGAAAATGAAAGCATAATCCATGAAAAAGAAAACCTATACATACTGGATCAAAAGACAAAAGGGGTCGTGAGCCCCTTAAGCAGTTCCCAGTCATCTTCAATTCAGCCAGTGTGTGAACTACAATGATTAAAAACATCATTTAAGTATTTAGAGAAAAACTGTACAGCCCTGAAAATAAAAAGTCCAAATAATCCTCAGCAACTTACTGTTCTGCACTAAGAACTTGGCTGATGGTCCCTGTGGTGTATTTGAAAGCCTGTAGGGGAGAGGCAGGAAGAAGAGAAGAGAAAAATGTTAGTGGCAGACAGAAAGGTATGCTGGAGTTGTGCACTCCAAACTAAGTACTTCTGTACTGAAGTAATTTCAGCCTCTTTTAAAAGCAGTACTGAATTCCTTTAAAATATTTTAACAGGAGTAGCTTTGGGTACAGTTAGTAGGCCTTAATTGTAAGGCTCAACATAAATGCATTTTATATATGCTTGTTTTTTACAAAAGTATTTTATAAAATAATTTAAACAGTCTAGTAAACCAATCATAAATTTGCATTACCTATACAAGTGTGGGATTAGTACAGATTTAACTAAGCAACACTATGTTATGCATCTTCACTATTACAGTAACAGAGTTCAGTTAGAAAAGCAGCATCCCTAGTTATATATAGAATGGTAAAAAAACCATAACATTTACTTACCACATGTACAGATCCTGTTTCTTTTTGGCTTCAAAAAAGATGCATTTATTGCAGTTTTTTATTTCACACACCTACACAAAGCGTGACAAATTAGCTATTTACAAAATTCCGAAGACATTTTCACAGTCTTTCCACGTTAATCTCTAATGTATTCCCCCCACAGCGAAAGAAGAGTTCAAAAACAAAAGGTCCGACTACACCTACTCATCCCCCAACTTTAGTTTAAACATTTATTGAAAGATCTTAAGCTCTTATTACCAGGAGCAATAACTTCACTGAAGCTACAAGCAATCTTTTGAGCTTTCCAGGACATAAAGTTTAGAGCAGGAACTGTGACAAAAGGTTCTTATTTTAGCTCTACCAATGCCTTACTGCATTATTTGGACTGGTCACTTATTCCTTGTCTTCTCCAAATACAAATTGTAAAATATCTTTCAGCTATATAGAAAGGCACATTTTGTTATATTTTCTCATGACCTAAGCCTATTTTTTTAAAGGTTTGGGTTTGGTTTAACTAATCAAAAGTCAACTTCCCATTTTAACCTAAGCATTGTTTGAACATCTATCATTTTCAGTTATGAAGCTGCACAATTCACATAGCTAGTATGAATTCCTTTGAACTAGCTGTCCATTGGCCGACCCTTTCTCTTACATACAGAATTACCACAGAAAGTAAAAAAGAAGTACTAGTTAAATTCTGAATTACCTCATTAATTATAAACAACTTGTCTTTACGGTCCATTTTAGTATCTGGAAAACAAAAACAACATTGGGAAGGCTTGAAAACCAACTTAACACCAGGAATTATTTTAGAAATCTGTTCTTTGCAAAACTTTACTGGCCATAAATGAAAGATTAACTATATCAAGCACTTTCAGCCATGTTATATAATAAAATAATATGGTAATATGAATATTTGGGCACTTACAGAACAGAGGCTGTAACAATCATTTCCTAGAGAATATTAGGACACAACAACAGCTGCAAGTTCTGTTGGCTGGGGGAGGGCGGCTTTTGTTTAGGATACAGGGCAATAGTTTTGTCAAGAGTTAGGTACCACATTAAAACAAAAAACCAGGCTGTTCTAAACCAACTGTTTTTAACTAGTTTTTAACTAAGTTAAAACTTAGTTAAAAACAGTTAATTTTTTAACTAAGTCAGGAACGATGCCTAGCCCTACCTGCTTTAGAGTGAGGCATCAACGTTCTCAAGTCTTGCATTAAGTGCCTCGTTCTGAAATTAATTCCACGAGAAGAGAAAATAAGCACCCGCTCCTTGTTTTTCCATTTACCCTATGAAAATGACACAAAAGTTAAGCAGGGAAAGGAAGTTTCTAACCTTAAAACTGTTACAACACCAAAATATGTGTTTGAACAGTAATAACAGAAAAGCATAATAAGAACATTTGTTATTAACGTTACTATCACCACTACATAAGCACAGCATTGCCCGCTCAGGGAAAGCGCTGCCATTCCTACAGAACACAGTAGCTTAAGTTTTTACATGAACAACTCTTATCTATGTTGCATCCCTAAATCCCTACATAAAACCTTTCTCTAGTACAAAGCAACTAAACTGTAAGAAATCCATATGCAATACATATTCCCCAAAGGCACTCCTCCTTTTCTACAAAAGGATCTGATCTCAGAGCAAAACGACACAGCTTCTCCTACAGGTTACCATGCAGCAAAGTCTCAGACTTGAACATGCTGATTTTCGTTTTTCTTTTAAGCAAACTGCAAGACAGTTATTGAAGCCATCTCAGAACGATTCCTAAATGAAACAGATACAATATCCCTCAAGTTCTTTTTATATAACACGACTATTTCGCTGCCTAAAATACTTCCCAGATTAGTACAACACAATTCATTTACACAGAGCAGAGTAACGTTCTTCCCATATCTGCGCAGAAAAAACATACCATAAGACGTTACATTCATTTGTGCTAAAGCTATAAAGAATAATGAACGACCCTCCTTTGCTTTATATAGCAGCTGGTTCCCCACCACCAAACAGAGGCACCTTGAGCCCCGATATCTTACTCCAACAGTTCTCCCCAGAACTAGGAAGAGCAGCAAAAGTCAGAATCCATCAGTTACGAACATCTGATGGAAGCACTGCGCTAGGCAATACAGAGCTCCGCATGCACGTGGGGCTGCATGAAACACAAGGTAACACCTCACTCGCGCTTCTGCGGTCTCCTCTTGGGGACAAAGCGTGCCCTCCGAGGCAGGCACCCACAGACACACGGTACTTCTCGCGGCGCGGGCGGCCCCGCCTGCTCTGCCCAGGGACCAAGCGGTACCTGGGAGACCGGCGCCGGGATACTGTACTCCTCCGGGCTCGCTCCGTCCGGGCCCGGCTTGGCAGCCGGCTCGGGG